AAGTCTTGTAAAGCGCTTTATTTAGTGAGACTGAGCAAGCGGTAATAAACTCACAGCTACTGTACTGAAATGAATGCATCAAACCCGTGAAAAAGATATTAGACTAATACACGATAGGAGTCGCTAATGGCGTTGTTTTCGTATGTGTCCAGTGGACTATAACACCTTGACTTCAGTGATTTTCCGTCTTCTGTGCGAAGCATGGCTATTGATCTAAATTTGACTGGTAATAATCTTATTTTTACTGAATTAATATGGCTTATAAGGGGGTACTATTGGGTACTACTAACTATTCTTGCGTTGATAATGATCATTACACTCATTTGCTTTACGGGTCGATGAAATGCCTTTACTACTTATAAACCGTGATTTTGGTTTGACGTTGAATGAAAAATGACTTTTTAATTCTCATTTGTTTGTAAAGTGTAATAGAATCCATTGTGATATAGATTATTAATTCCCCAGCTACTCGTGTAATCGTACAAAAGGAACGCACGCATTCTTGTGTATGTTACTAAACGCATGCATTCGAGCCTAGGCCTCAACATGTTGAGAAAAGGCTTTTATTCATTCGCCCCATGTAAGAGAATCCAGAGAACTAGAGGATTCCGGATTCCAAGCGCAAGATTCCGGATTCCGAAACATTGGATTCCGGATTCCAAGCCTTGGGATTCCGGATTCCAAAGAATTTTTGTGTTGGATTCCTGATAATAAATGGCGTGATATTCAGTGTCTTTTTTTTCCTAAAAATTTTATATTCAGCGTCAAACTACGTATATGAAGTACAGTAAAGATCAGTTGGATTTACGTTCCCATCTCTCAACAGCTAGATTTTCACCGATAAAAGCAGTCTTCCTAACTATCCAGATTCTGGATTCCAAATAGTTGGATTCTGGATTCCAGGATAGGGATTCCGGATTCCAAAGCTGTATTTTTAGTAGTAATAGTTTGCGGGTTCTAAGACGCTTTTTACCAGCTAGCCACCTGCACCGATCGAATTTCTGTTTGATTCAATTGCCAATCAAACCGCAAACTATTACTACTATATATTTTTTTGATTTTGTTCAATCTTAGGTTCGCCATTTTCAATTCTTTAGCAGGATTTCTTTTATGATTATATTTATATAGTATATAATGAGTCTATCAAACGTAACAGTTGATGCTTCTATTGAAGGCGGTGTAAAAAATTATAAAATTGAAATAAATAGTAATTTAGATCCAAAAAGACTRTTAAAAAATAATAGATCTTATATATTAAATTTATTAAATTCTGAAAAAAAGCCTTATAAAGTTAGACTTTCTTTATTAATTAATTTTAAAAAGGACATGGAACCAATAGAATATTTAGATTCATATATTAAAACAGAACAAGATTTAGTTTTAGATTCTNTTTAGCGCATTGTTACTTAAATTCAATCATCTTGAATAAATTATGATAGAATAAAGCCTGTGTCCAACGTCGTTCCTTAAGTTTTGATTTACCAAATTCATGTTTATATTGTTATACTTGCGAACGCCATTGTTTTGAGGTCATTTGCATCGAGAGAGACACCTTTGCCGTGCTTCACTTGCACTGAATTACATCTTTTTTTCAATCCCTTCAAATTCATCACAGCTGATAACTTGTAACTGTTTTCAAAAATACGTAGWTTTCGCTGATTGGCACTAGATATTTTGCCTTTGAAACCTWATAAAAGTTTTCCTGATTACAAAAAGAWRTTTGAATTTGGCGTTTGACCCTGGTCTATATGAGAGAACAAAACGGGACTGATCAATAAGCACACGTTATTTATTACTCTTTTTTGTTGTTCTCTTAGCTTAAGTGGTATATATAAGATAAATGGAACCGATACAGATTAGCATTAATTGCAATCATCTCCTTAAAACAGATCAAAAATTGTAAACATCAAATCTATTGATCAAGTTATCAAGGATTTCACAGCTAATGATGCTGCTTATGAATGTGCATCGGTTAGTTAGTCACGGCATATAGCTCTTTTATGTCAATTATTAATGTCAAACTTATTTCTTTAACAAAACACTGTATTAAAGAAAAACGGAAGGGAAACGAACAATTTGAGAATAAAAAACATAGAATTTTKTGATCAAAGTGAATCTTTTTTTCTTAGCTTTTCGTTTTGATTTTTTGTCGTGAATAAACTTGAAGGAAGGACCTACTCAGCGTCACGCGAGCGCTTAGCCAGAGGGCAAATCCATTACGGCTGTCTGTTTTATGAGTTATTAAGCTTGSCCCTTATAGGCTGAAAACGATGCCAATATACCATATCCATACGCTTAATAATCGATTTTCKCTTCAAAAATGGCAGCTACGTCACGATTCTTTTGAAATCAACAATGCAATAAGTGTGTAGGTAGCCTAAAGTGTAACCATTCGTAAAGCAAGGCCTCTCAGTACTGATCTACTTGTGTGGTATGTCATGGACACTCCGTACTCTTATTCAGGTAACTTTAATGTTTATAAACTCTTTAATGAGATAAAGAATGTTAGTTAAAGCGATTAGAGGTTTTTGTTTTGTGATTATCGGATWTGTTTAAGGTGATGGTTCCCTGTTGTTTACAACCCGTCTACTGTTTTTGATTGAATTATAGWAACGGACAGAAGCGGACTCTTCAACAATAARATACTACAAGTCCCCCTTAATTCATTAAGTCATCAAGGGTACCATTATTGAGGTTTTCATAAAAGTCTGATGCGTTAATGCGGCAATAAAGGGTTATCAAACAGGTTCATGTCTGATGGTAAATGTTTCCGGGTTCATCAAGCGAATCAATATGTGGCTTGATGCTTCTGGAAACCACCATGATCTTCAGTGCTCTCAGTAATAAAAGCAAGTACCACAAAAGATGTTTACAGAGCTTGTTGACATTTTATGCTTAATTTTTGTTGGAAAATGAAAGTAGAAAACAAAATCGGAAAACAAAACAAAAAACTTACCTGAACTTGTAAACAATAACACGTTGAGCAAAATTGTCAAACTTCTGTCGATCGACTTTTCCATGTCATTTTGACCCAGTCTATTTTATCCTAGCTCACATACTAGCTCAAAAAAAAAGACATGATAACTTATCACCGTTTTGCTATAGTCCCAAACTACATGGAGATCTTTACTGCCCCTTTAATGATATTTTGGTTATAAATGATYATATTAATGGCGAAAAAAAAGCTGACCTATCAATGTATTGTTATGTAAACATTGGTTTACTACATTATACTGCGAAAGCGCTTGCATCGCGCGACTACRAGGTATAACAGTTCGGTCAGGATTTTAGATTTTGCTGCGACACAGGGAGACGTTTCAACCGAACGATCAACTCCATTTACGCTATTCAAAAATTGCATTTCGTCTAAGCAAGAGATTTGTATATTGATCTTCCTGATTTAAAGTATTTTAATGCGTTTTAGACATAGGAAAAAAACAAAAAAACAAACCCGGTAATTGTCAAAACATTGCCGGGTCGCGATACAATGRTTTTCTTTGTAAGTAGTATAATGAAGTCCATGTAGACCATAGTTATAGTTTTCATGTAAGTTAAGTATAGTTTCCATACCTTAGTATGCTCTGGTATTTACAGGCCAAGGTAGAGTCAATCAGTTGGGAGGGGTTTTCATCAATGGTAGACCACTTCCCAAGATGCTGAGATTAAAGATAATCGAACTGGCACAGTTGGGAGTCCGTCCCTCCGACATCAGCCGCCAGCTCCGAGTATCCCACGGATGCGTCAGTAAGATTCTTTGCCGATTCCAAGAGACGGGATCTATTGAGCCTGGAGCGGTCATCAATTCCACTAAGCCACGAGATATAACAGTGGAGATCGAGCGCAAAATTGATGAATACTGCAAAGAAAATCCGAGTGTATTTTCATGCGAAATCAGAGAGAAATTGATCTCTGACAGCGTGTGYGATCGCCTAACAGTTCCCTCGCTGGGAGACATAAGTCAGGTCCTGAAGAATAGAATCGCCAATAGCGTTGAGTCAAGTGGAGGGAAAGACGCGAAGAAGAGATTTTCTACCTCCTCTGCTGCATCGACGTCCAGTGACGACGAAAAAGAGCAAGAAGAAGAAGGTGATGAAAAAGTCAGAAAGTCTTCATTTCAAAGTTCTTACTYGATTTTGAACTTACTAAATCTCCCAAAGCACAAAAATGAAGATGACAAGAAAGGAGAGAAATATGGCGTCAAAGTAAAAGTCGAAGGTAAGATTCTGGAAAATAGTTACTTAAGTACTGTTAAGATTATCAAAATTCCTTAAATTTAAATAAGAAATTAAATAAACAAAATAGTTTCTTTAATGGGTAAAATTTTGGAAAATGTTATATTGAGTTGATCAAGTGTTCTTTTCAATGTAATATTATTTTCTAAATATCGTTTTTGGTCATCGTGAAATTGGTTGTATAGCAGGAAAACATTCCAGGATGCTGCCATGTGTRAKCTCGCGGCGCTATCAACTAGTAATTCTATAAATACTCTTGTTGAGGAAAAGGAAGTTCGTAGTGTTGAATGAAGTGTAAAAATGGATAGCATGAAACTTTGTATGTAATTTCAATAATCYATCTGATGAATTTTTTATTTAGCTACAAATAATTAATGTTATTGTTATTGATTAAGAAAATACCGCCATTTGCAAAAATTCTAACCGCTAACATCTAGTATCTTTATATATCGGGTGCACTATGGGTAATATCAAGGATTTTCGCTCTTTTCTTGCTAAAACAGATGCCAAATCATTCAAATACTTTGAAATTATATYTAWTAAAGGTTATTCAAGTATAATCTGCAGTTTTATATGACAAATTAAAGGTTTAACAGCCCTTTATATGGATATATTTAACATACAGTATACTGTATAATTATCAGTTGACTGTACATGCTATATGTATTTCTGTACAAATGTGCACATGATAAATTTTGCAAAGGCATAGTTTTTTTTAGCTGACTCAGAATGACTTTATGCCAAAAGCTACAAACAAAAGCTCCGACGCACTTAAGAAAATCAATTCTGTCTGATTCTGATGTCTTCATTGATCGACCGTGAAGTCGTGTGATCCGTAATTAGTCGAGGTTATTTGAAAAATGTCCGCCCATTTCCTTAGTCAAATGATCATACTGAACAATCCAAGTTATAGCCTTTCAGTTATATATTGATCCGAAAATGTAGCTATAGGTTTTTTATTATTCTGATCGGAAACAATATCATCGTAGTATTTTAATAAGTATATACTACATTTTGCAAAGAGTTACGAGTATCAATGCGTGACATATATTTAAGCACAAGAAGTATTTTTCCGTGTTTCTATTCAAATGATAATAATCTTTATTCAGGAAAAACGCCATCATATGACGTGGCTTTCGCAGTTAATACTATTAATAACTGTTTACAACTATTTACAAGGAAAGAAAAAAATTAACGGATGAAATGCAGCTAAAAATAAATAAAAATTTAATGATAATAAAGAAAGAAAGAATTGCGTCATGTAGATGTTTATGAAGAATGAAGGATTGAAGAGGAAGTTGATGAGTTTGTAATCGAAAAGACTAARCTTTTCTCTGTTAGGACTTGTTAACATAATCAATAGGGTGCTTCTAAGAAAAGAACCAACCAACCTAAGACATCCATGGACATCCCATGCCAACACAAACTTAGAAACACGCAGGATTGTCGTACGAATATCCGGTTCAAATCACACGAGCTGAAATACTTTTTACARCAACTCTCCGCTTGAAAGCCTTGTTTTCTATGCTCTCTATACACAATTTTCTGCACACGCTCGTTATATAATTGTTTTAACAATTATATTAAAATATAATACGAACGATTCAAGCGCGGTTTGYTTTTATCCGTACAAGGCTGAATTAAATTATTACCTACAACAAGGACAAGRACATCCTTACAACAAGGCTACAACTGTYGTATTAAGCGATTGTTTAAAATCCTTACGACAGTAGTAGCCATGTTGTAAGGATGACCTACGCATTTGCTGCATGTATGGTAATAAGCAAAAGTTGTGCCGTCTAAATCGACCTTAAAGTAAATCATAAAAATAAATAAATAAACTMTTTTATTCTAAAAGATCTTTGTCGGTTGTATTTTTCATATTTACAAGTAGTTTGTTGAATCAACYATRAATAATTTAAYATTTTATTCCAAGCTTTCGACAGTTTGACAGTTGGACTTCAGTTTAAATGCGTCTTTGTGTTCCCTGAAGACTGATGACCGGTTAGGTCGAAAGCTTGCAATAAAATGTTAAATTATTCATGGTCGATTCAACAAACTACTAAATAAAATAATAATAAATAAAAACTCTTTTATGTTTTGAGAGGGTAGCACGTAATAGTCTCTAGACTAGTAACGCTCCTCCAGGTTTTCTTATAAGATTCTACAAAAAAAAATTGTATTTTAGTGTCAGATGAAGATGAATCGTCTTCGCCTCCAGTGTCTCCAGAGCCAATCAATTCCCCACTGCCCACCGAACGCGATTTCTTGTTCAACAGAAAACAACGGCGTCTGCGCACTAAATTCACTTCCGCCCAAGTCGAGGAATTGGAAAAAGCGTTCGTTAAGACCCAGTACCCGGATGTATACACRCGTGAAGAATTAGCTCACAGATTGAAATTGACGGAAGCAAGAGTTCAGGTGAGATTAKTAATAATTTTTCAGAAATTTCTTTCCTCAAAAAATTATTTATTCAGAGCAAAATTTTGTTAAAACGCTCTGGTTGCCGGCTGATTGGATGAGACTAAACAAGTTTCCTTGGCTATTATGCTTAAAGTGATACTTGTATTAAAAATGCCCTTATTTTTCAAGAAATATAATTAATATATTACTCACTTGATACATCTATTAAAAACAATTGCGGAAAATTTTTTTGGAATTATCCCACATCAGAGAAAGTTTGATTCAAAAGATGGAAGAACAAATAGAGTAAATGACGTCATTTACTCCARCATTTTTTTGCCAATATYAATAAGGATTTGTAACAATATCTTCTTGAAATCTGTTGCTTCATTATTATTACACCCATATGGATAGGTCTRTTTGATTTCCAAGTCTTTTCTAATGTTTCGCAATTTTCGTCCAAGTATGATGCATAGATTATGCCTTCACACATCCTTTCACAAATGCTCGCCAAGACCACTGTTTCACAATCCACTGATATAAGATTTAGTTTTTGCGYTCGTTTCTTATTTAACTATCTGATACACCCTTAACTATATATCTGGCTTGATCTTGTTTTGCAGTTTTAGTGCTTGCGCTGGCGAGTTTCAATTGAAACCCGGCCCCTAACTTCATCCCGGGTATGTCCGGGGTATTAATATATCACAGCCGGGGATTTAATACTGTTTCAACAAAATCTCAACAGGAAATAACGTCTAAATCAAAAGAAATAACCCGCTTAGCTGAWTTGTTCGGTCTCAAATTGACGTGAAGTGCTGGGATGTTATTTCTCCTGGTATAGGTCATTTGTATTATGCCCGGTAACTTTACTACAGCTACCAGAAAGCTTTGCGCATTTTCATTGTTATTCAGATTTTTAATCACCTTGGAGATTAAGAAAACAATTGGCACTAATTGCATTACAAAAGAAAGTTGGCAAAATATTCTGATAGTTGTAGTAAACGCCATAATAYAAATCGGCTATTGCCCGGGGGTTTTAGGGGCCCGGTGGTTTAAGTCGATGATATTGATGCTTCTTTCGCATAGGGGTATTTTGCCTATTGTTAGTGCTAAGKTCAATTTATCGGATATCTTTCGTAGGTATGGTTCTCCAATCGGCGAGCTCGTCAAAGAAAACAAGAAACGTCAGCTGGCCAATCACACCGWAGGAAGTCATGTGACATATTATGCACGTGCAATCAACCAACAATGATGCAGCCAATTACATATGTTCAATATCTACCAATCAATGGGCGCGTATTTACAATGCCAATGTACACATAGGTGAAAGTACWGCGCCATATACGCAATCTGCATTGTGCGGTGGATTGTACTTTTTCAACAATCTGTTTTATGTATTTTCAATCTGAGGAGAAATTGCCCTTAAAATGCAAAGCAATACCATATATAGAATATATAAAACGGTACGAAAAAATGTAATCGGAAACGCAGCTTATAGGGTACCGTAAAACGTAATTCAAGCATAACGCAAAACGCAAACATAACGTAAACCGTAATATAAAGTCTAGCAAACCGGCTTAACATATAAATTACCCTCAAACGTAACTGACGTAGCTTAACAGAATTAAAGTGTAAACGTAATGTATAACGTATGGTAAAASTGAACGTATAGCGTAAGCTCGCATAACGTTAAGCGTATTACGTAAAACGCTATTCAATGCGATAGCTCCAAGCACTCATATCAATGTATACTAATATGGACAAGTCAAACTTTTCCAGCAAATTATTTAATAAAATTGCACAGATTTAATGAAACACCAGCACAACTAAGTTATCATGGATTGAAGCAAAGTATCTTAGACAACATTTTCGCTGCGCGAAAATACCGTTGTCTCTAAATTGACTATGAACGCGATTTTTAATTGAGAATAAATGATACAAATAGTTTTTTGATGGCGTAGTAGTCTTTTTATAGGATGCTAAAATTTACGTTGGCATCAGGCCTTGATTGGCTTATACTAGCATTATCCACTGCTTTTGTTAGTTTYTTAATCATTACGCAATAATTATATACTCAATTCTATTATACCTAATTTGAATAACGTAGTCAGATTTCAAAAAGTTACATCATCAAAGCAAAARCCGAAAGGAAACATTGGATGGCAAGTATTAGGAACATAAGTGTGTTTCAAGGCCAAAAAGATAGACCTAATCGGATAACGCGTTGCTATAAAACGTTTCCACCCAATTCAAACCAGCCCGGAGTATGTTTCATTGTTCATTGTACTAGTATTTTCATTTCAGAGATGAATTCTTAGAAACAAAAGTTCTTTTCCCACATGATTTGAATTGGGTGCATTGTAACGTACATGGTAACAAGTTAGCCGATTAGGTGTATTGCCTGCGCTGGGCCATATGACTTTCTATGCTATGTATAACAGGATTAGTAGGCAAATATGACTCGAATTTCTGAGTATTTGAATTCCCTTCGGTGATAGCTAGCGCTTGATGATATAATTTTTTTTACGTCCCGACGATTTCATTTATAGGTGTATATCATAATTAATGATGACTTTTCTGGTCATTCGAAATATTCTGATTTCATTAAAAGAAATCTTGAAATTGACTAGAGGGAAAAGGTTAGAAAAACTATAGTCAGCTTTCCTATTTCTGATCTGTTAAAATGATATTTCGAACATAAGTGAACTTATTAGTAGTCCTAAAACTTTAAATTCATTTGGAAACACTTATTGTTCTTATACTCGTAGTTTTAAAGTATATACACCTTTTAGTTTCAAACAAAGTTCAAAGGAAAGCTGATCAACAAACATGGCTACCCTGACCTTTTCTCCTCTACCCATAATGCTTTTGAACAAGAGCGCATGGAAAAATTTACATACAAATAATTCCACAGGGAATCACTTCGCCAAATTTGCAAAAAAATACTTTTACGTAGAATAAAAAAAAAAGAAAGGAAAATAAAAAAACAGATAAAACAAATAAATAAATAAGAAGATAGACAAATAAGAAGATAGACTTTAAAAATCTTGCGGTCAGTATGCAGCATCTGCAGATACCTGACTTTTGCATGATTGTTATTATTTCTTATATTCCTTTTATATAAGCTATATTTGCAATGTTTGTAATGAAATATTTAATTAGAAATGCAAAAATTAATAATTATGTGAAAATAGAGTACAAACACTAAAACTGTGCAACATAAATACCACTAAATACTGCTAAATACTGCTAAATTATGCTAATTCTATTGTTTTCTATTGTTTAATTAACACTATTTTGTAGTAAAAATAGTGGAAAGTGTTGCACACATTTAATGTTTGTACTCCAGCATGACTCTAGTAATATAGCCAAAACTAGAATGCTTATGAATTACTTTTCAAAATTATAATACATTCCGATAATAAGTTTATACTTTTTTTAATAAAAATGATAGTCAAAAAAATATATACTGCACGATTAATGCGTTCAACTTTTTTTCAATTTCCATTGTTCTTGGGGCATGGTCAACGGCATCCCTTACGACCTTATATTTATATTAAATTGAAAATAAAAATACATAGCAATATTAGGAAAAATTCCCTTTGGGTCACAATCGGGTAAATGATGAGCTGTGAAACGACTTAAAAATGATTAGCGGTGAGTGTGAAAACGGAGAAAAAGAATATCTTATATTAATAACCCGTAGATATTTTCTATAGCGTGAGCCGTGAYTTTTGCTCCAATGACGTGCAGTAGAAAACATACCACACCCTTAAGTCTTGCTTTTTAAAAGCCAGGTAAAACATGTCTTGAACTAAATGAAAAATAGACAAACAAACACGAAAAACAGCAAATTCAGTGAAATAAAATTTTTGTAGGTGTTTTACTGCGAAAAAGTTTCGAAAACTGCCCACAAATTTAGTAAATGTAGTTGTGCATCAAAAACTTGAAAAAAAAAAAGAATGAAAAAATGGTTTTGACGAATAGTTTAAAAGTAGCTGCACTTTAGATGGGCTTCCACTCCCTCCGACGCCATAGCTGTTCCTTTGAAATTCGAAGCTCCGAGGCAATATATATTTTCAAATTTTGAAATTATAATATGTCATTACATGCATAGTTTCTTCGATATATTAGCGCGATGGAATATGGACAGCATTCGAGAAGCGAGAGAGCTACAATCMCGGACAAAACTTGTTGAGACACTGGCATTATTTCACTTCAAAATATCACCATTTCTCCTATCTCTAAAAAAATCACCGATTTTGATCCTCCCCTCCCCCCACCAAACAATGTTGTGTGTGTGCCGTGATGCTAGAAGGCTGTGCATGATTGTTCAGTCCTTTCAACATTGAATTGAGGGGGAAAGCGGGAGATTTGCACAGAAATATGCAGATAGATCATCGAAATTCAACCTATTTTAAGAAATGTATCAACAGTTTTGTCCGGGGTTGTAGCCCTTGTGTTCGTAGGCTTGCTTTCCTGTGTTCTACATCATCTACCACCGTTTGCCACATTAGAGAAAAGAAACACGCGACAGCTTTAAGAACAATATTTACAATGATTCTTCTTTGACTCAGACAAAAAAGTTCTTCGAGGCCAGCACATACTTATACATCAACAAACTTATCCATGAATATTTCAACGCGGGCTCAAAGCTTAATCCTGAAAAAGTTATTGATTCCTGCTGTATTTCTATTGTATTTTTATACAATAAAAAGCGCCAACGGACTGACTTCATATCAAACGGCGATAAGAATGCGTTGCATTAATCCCTGCAGCACCTTAATGATGGAAACCACGAAACCTATTTAATCATCCACTACTTCCTGCTTCTCCAAAGGAAATTTGCTAAGAAAACAACGATTTGTCTTTATTATAGTTGTTTGTAAGTTTTAAATGAATTACAGCAAAGAATTTATCTAAACACTGCGATTAATTGACGCCGCATTGTTGTGATTTTTTGAAGTGCGCAATACTCGACGATTAAGTGATGTTTTGCTTCAAATTAACGAGCTTATCTAGATCTAAATTAATTAATGTTTCCAGTCAAACCGCTTGTTTACTTTAAATGTAATTCAAAGTTTTAGTTTGAAAATAATGTTATACCTACGGGGCTTTACATCTAGAAATGTTTATAAACTTGTTTGTCAGTGACTTCGCCTATTTTTCTTGTTCTTATTAATCGCGCGATGTCTTCATATAACTTTTGTTGTTAATTTTCAGCTTCTTGTAACAACTTTACTGTTTTAAATCAAATGCTGTCATAAGGTTGTAGTTATAATTTTTCAACTTCTTCTTCTCCTCCTCCTTTTTCGTCTTCTTCTTTTTCTTCGTCTTCTTCTTCTTGTTTTTTTTCCTCTTCTTTATCGTTTTATTATCTTCTTCTTGTTCTTGTTCTTGTCCTTTATTCTTGTTCTTCTTCTTTGTCTTGTTTTTCTTGTTCTTCGTCATTTTCTACTTTTTATTCATCTCCTTCTTCTTTTTATTCGTCTTTCTCATCATTTTTTTTCTTTTTCTTTTTCTCCTCTTTCTTCTTCTTGTTTGTTTTCTTCTTCTTCTTCCTTTTCTTTTTCTTCTTCACTTTCAGTTCTTTGAATGTTTTCCTTTCACCGTTTATCCTCCTTCTTTTATCGTCCTCTACTTATAGCTTATTCATCTGGAAAGTATACCAGTACTCAAAATGACTTGATCAAGGCATGATATTTGAACATTGCGTATCTTGCGACTGAACATACAACCCCAAAAACCTAAAAGCGTTTTTTATGCTACATATTTCATAAAAATACCGATTAGACTAAATGCAATTTTAAGAGTTTCATGTTTAGAAAAATATCTGTTATAGTAGTTATTCTTTTAATCTGCAATGAAACATTCGTTTTGATCATAAAAGAGATATATGCCAGGGAAAGGTTTTAGTTCGAGCCGGAGATGAACCAGACTGTAATTAATAATATTTTTGGTTCTAAAAATTTAAAATTATAAAAAAAAAACTTGTTAGAGCACTACCCCATTAATTGCGTCCCCTGAGGGACACAATCATCTTTGAAAAATTTCTAATTGAGACCCACTTGGAAATTTGCACGTCCTTGAATAATGTCCCCAGGCACATCCTACTTGATGGAGGCTGATTGACTTCAGAGATTTATATCAAGTGCATTTAACAGTTTCTTTTAAGCAAATTCATCAAAGCCGGTGTATTTGATATAGCACCGGGGATGAAGTTGCCATTGTCTGCCGCAGTTTGAAGTTTCGTTCTATCTTGACCGATTTGGAATTAAGTTGCCATCCATTTATCATTGTTGACGTCCAAAGGGTTGTGTTCACACAGTTTAGCTTCTTTTAGCTGAGTATCTTGTTTTTAGCATTTGTGTTAAAGTGCAATTTTCCCTCAAGTTTATTTGCCTCCGTGAGATGTAAAATTCATTCCCACTTCGTTGAGTACAGTGTYACGAGGTTTTCAAAAATAATAGAAAAATTACTCGCTTGTTAGGAACTACCTTCTGCTCACAAGAAATTATGTAAAGCAATTACTCTATTCTCGCTGTAAATTAAAATTTCCCCTCTGTCTTATTCTCTTGAAAAGTATCCATTTTTTTGGTTTATTTTTACTCTTTTGTTTGTTTTAACAGTGTAACCCCCAACGGTCAAATACGTCTTTCATTTTCTAGTGCTAATCAATTAACACTCTTCGTTCGTATTATCAGATTCGGGATCTCTTCTCATCCTTACTTTGTATTTGCGGTTTCAGTATAATTAAATCGTACGTATACATCGTCCTTGCTATAAATGATTTAAGTAAAGAGGCCGGCGAATCTTTTAGGTATACTTCCTCTCGCTCTTATCATTACGTGTTTAGAAAATAGCAAATTATACAGCAGAAATCTTTGATAATGGCAAAGTGGTATTGTGCATCATTATGGGAGGGGAGGGACAGACATTCAATTGTTAACTTTTGTGTTTCTTTGAAGTCTACAATTTTGATAAAAAAAACGTGTTCGTCGTTTTAACATTGTGAAATTCGTCCTTCATCATTCATCTAATCATGCATTTTGTCATTTTGTCTTTCTTTTCATTCTTCTATTCGTTTACCTTTTCAAAAGATTACATCAAAACCTGTTTGACCATTATTCAATATTTCTTTATGTATCTCTATTTGATAATACACTAAGTCACAAAATCCCCATCTTCTACACACTCAATACAAACAATAGTTTCTTTTTGATATATTAGGCGCGCAATGACTGAACTAAGTGCCAAGTATATATACACATACTTACGATTTAAAAAAAGGTAAATAAAACAATAGTAGAAAGTACATGATGCAGAATGAAAAAGTGGTGTATGCTCTAATTTGCCGATGTTCACTCTTTTACATACTTACGATTTTTAAAACAAGGTAAATAAAAAGAAAAAAAAAAAGGAATAACAAAAAAGGAAAAAAAAAACTTCAGAGGGAAATACATATTCAACCATAACTTGACTTTGTGTTGTGATATAAGCGCGACAGAAAAGATTTCAAAAGACACACTCACTCTCCGCGCTTTTCACATTTTAAGAGTATGTTTCAGTTTAGTCGATTAGACTGCAAATATCTCTATGTTTCTTGAAAATAGAATGGAAAATGGAGGCTAAAGTGTGGTTAAATTTAAAGATAAACTGTGTATCAAGCCGTCGGGGATTGGGGGAAGGGGATGACAACGTTCAGACAAAAAAATAGCGCATCATTACAGTGATAAACTATGCCAATAACCAGCGTCTAGTGATCCATCAATAAATCATTCGGTCAAGCTTCGCATTACCGCGTGCATTCATTTGCGAAGGAATATGTCCATGAAAGATCAATTTAGCAAAGAACGGATTTTTAGCATAAACATCGTCATTAAATATCAAAGTCGGTATAGAGACAATAATATTCTAAGATATATTAATTGTAAAACATATATACAGAAAAATATTCACCCTTTTAGGGTTCTCCATTTGCAACATGTTGGCCTCGAAAACTATGTAATGATATATTATGCTATTCAGAAGAGTCCGTCCAAGAGATCTGCGAGTATAGAAAGACCAGGAAACTAGTTTGAAATCTCACGAGCTTTATCTAAATTTCTGCATATTTTACAATAGATTGAGGCTAACATGGAATAAAGAATATGCCGAAATCTAGTATATAATAATAATAATAATAATAATAATATTTTAATATAAACATAATCTTAATTTTACTTACTCAAATTTTTGAGAAAATTAATATTTGTCGTGAAGGGTTAATAAAATGTCAAAGGAAAAAAAAACTAGATTTTTCTCCTTAAACTGTAGGGTATGTTTCAATATCCTTAAATTTCAATGATTTCATAACGTTTTCTTTATTTGCAACCATATTTAGTGTTAACAGTGTGAGAAAATAGCACTGAAACTTCCGTGATGCATCCATATAAATGATATATGTTGGCGGTTAGAATTTTTACAAATGACTGTATCATATAAATTCTTCTACAATAGTTATTATTTCTAACGCTCTGAAAAGAAAAAATTCGTTTCGTAAAAAAAAATATGCCATGCCCGACACTAGTGTCAACGGAAACATTCCAGCCCTGATGACCGCGGCCGGCATTTTGAATTCCATCATGTTTTTGTTGTTGTTATTGTGAAATGCCTCCAAGCTGATGTGCCCAGTTGACTCATAACAAGAAATTTGTAGATTGTTTGTCTCTTATAATGTCAATTTCTTTCTAAATAAACTCTTTCCGCGATAATCTTATGACAAGTTTAAAATACTAGCTTTAAAATAGCTTTTCATTCAAATAAATTCCCAAAAGATTGCATTGCGTCTGAAAACAACAACAAATAAAGGTAGCTTATAAAGTCATTTTGAGGACAAGTAAAAATCGAATTAATGGAATTTTCACATATAATCCCGTTTTGCAAAGTGAGCATAAATATGCATAAACATGAAAAATACCGTTGAGATCTTTTGCAGAATTTTTCGGTAAAATCAAAACTACATACAACATCTCATATTATGACTTTTTTTTGCTGAATTTAAATTTAAGCCTTCCAAAGCAAAAGCTAGATCATTTTCTAAAGACCGCTTTTCTAACACTAACCGCCATAATGTTGTCCGCCCCGACATGAGGTAGGCAATGCGTGTGGCAAGATACTTTTTTATACTAAAGTTATTTCATTTTATGATAAATAATAGCGAAAACATGATTAGATGACGTTTCGGCGTTGACCAACACCATTTTCAAGTCAGTATGTGCTAAAGTATGGTGAAGAGGTTATTTCTATGCACTTTTTTTTGGAGGGGGGGGGGGGGGGGGAGTGGGATATAGACATCCGGCGCAAGAAACACGCGCGAAAAGTTTTTCTTAATAGGGTTCTCTAACTAACAGATTCGCCTCATTCATCCTTTACGAACTTTAAATACAAGAACTTGAGGCGTAGAGGCTCAAGGGGTTTATCTGATTGCCCAATACTCACTGAATAATGCTGTCCTTCTCTTCTTCCTTCCTTTGTCGCGCGTCTGATTTTGCGCTTTTCACAACTGCCAAAGTGTTTTTAATTATTCATTTCATCGCACACAGCAATATTCACAGCTTTGGTATTTTGATATTAAGTAATTTCTGCATGGTGATGTACATTCTGTTTGTGAAAACATACAAAAAAGTGGAACAAAAGAAGGGAAATTGAAGAAAAAAGTTCTAAAAGATCTATCAAGAACAATCATTTAAAAGCGGCGGCAGACGATTCTCTGAAATAATAATAAGTATATGAAATTTCGTCCTAGATTTATTTTTCACGCTAATGTTTCAGACAATCCTATGATTGTATACATGCATACTAACATGTTTCGCGTTATTTAATTTCATAACTGTTGCATCCTACACACGCCACGTCTGTCGTCATGACAACTCACACACTACCCTTGGGTTCTCGTAACATTCACTTGAGCTGATTGGTTAATGGTTTGACATGCGCATTGACTGTTTCATTTGGCACTTAGTCCACTCACTAACTGCATGGATATTTATGATAAACAAATCCGTAAACGAGCCATATGAATGGAGAGTACAAGTGGTAAATTAGATTACACGGGGCATCACTAAGGCCATACGACTCGACAAGCTGAAAGACTGAATTCACTGGAACAATTCATTTCCCAAGAGTACACTCCTTTGATGTTGAATCACTGAGCAACAACAATATCATGGACACCTTTATTTTCCAAGGTAACGCACGAGGTAAACTTTTGCATTTTGAAGAAGAGAGTCCGTGCCAGGAGGCCGGCTGGGGAAATGGTTTCATAAAGTGTAACTGAAAGACCTATAGTGTCATTTGAGAACTGATGGATTTTGCCAATGAAAAGGATGATCCCAACCTGTTATGCATAGATCTAGACAGTCTAACGGTTGTGGAATGTCAACAAATCTCTAAGAATAAACCCCATTAGCAACTATGTTATTCATTTTCAGGTTTTGGTGAGCTAAGTTAGGTTTCTCAGAGTCTGTCTTTCTTGTTTCTTTGTTCTTTTTCGTTTGTTGCTGCGGGGACTGATATCATTGGTAAAACGAAAAGAGCACGCAAAGGCTTAAGTGTGATGAAATTGAATGAAGCTTATCTCGGCAAAGATGACACCCAGATAAGAGGCATTTCATAAGTCGTTATTCCACGGTTCCTTAACTATAAAAATGATCATTTTATATATTCTCTATATTCTTATAGACAATAAAATTCAGCACTAAATCAATGTTCAAGAAAAACAAATCTAAAAATAGTTTTACTCAGTCAGAAAATTACATACTGCTAGTGGATGGCTTGTTAACAAAAACTTAACAGATACAATTCCAATCCTTTGCCTTTCCACAATTTTGATCCTATTTTTCCAGATTTCGCATCTGTTGCATCAATGGCTGGCCAGGGTAAAATCAATCAGCTCGGTGGTCTGTTCATCAATGGTAAACCTCTCCCAAAGCCTTTAAGATTGAAAATAATCGAGTTAGCACGGTTAGGCGTCCGCCCTAGCGACATCAGCCGCCAGCTTCGTGTTTCCCATGGCTGTGTAAGTAAGATACTTAATAAGTTTCAAGAAACGGGGTCAGTTGAGCCAGGTGCAGCCCCATCATTCAAGAGAAAAGAACTCTCGCAGGTCATTCTTGTAAAAATCGAGGAATACGTCCGAGCCCAGCCGGATATTTTCTCATGGGAAGTGAGAGATCGACTTATAAGAGAAAAAGTTTGCTCCAAATTAAGTGTTCCTTCGCTTGAAGCCGTGAGTAAGGTGATCAAGACTTGCGCCTCCCAAATAACCAGAAAAGCAGAGCCTTCCTCCAAAAAAAGTACCTCACAAGAAAATGGAAAAGAGCGGAGCGAAGCAGAGGTTGAAAGAAAGAAAGCCTGCAGCTTCAACGGTCCATTTTCAATCTCGAACATCCTGAACTTATCCTCATCAGAAGAGCAGGATGAAAAACAACCTGAAAGCTTTACAAGCAGTGATACTGAAAGTGGTAAGCCAAATAAGACGACTGTTTTTGTTAGAATTCAAATTTTGTCCAGAAGATCAATGCGTATTTTAAGTGCAGTATTTACCCGCCATTTAACGGTCGTTTTGAGACAAGTTTTATCGCTAGTTGTTGTTAAAATAGAATAAACAGAGTCCCCATTGGGTTCCTATCAGGATACCAGTGCGTTGCATCGCCGCCGTCAAGTTTTACTTACTTCAAACGCTTAAACACGATTTTAGACACATTTTCTTTGTAAATCCAATAGGTTTATTGTTAATTTAAGACATTCAAAGCCGAAGCTTTGTTAATTCACTCCGTTTGTCAATTCACGCTTCTGCTGTCTTGTTTTCTCTTATGTGAGTAATTAGGCTGTCATTGATCATATAGCAAATTGACACGACAGCCCAAATGGAGCTTTTGGACCTTCAGTTCGTTTTATTCAGTTAAGCTCTGAAAGGAACAAAGCATATCTCAAATATAAGGCTGACTTTGAACGTTTTGTATGCTAAGGAACCCCGAGGGGAGTTTCTAAGAGGTACCTCTTTCCATGAGATATTAATCAAACACTTTATTACATTTGGTTTTTTCTTGTTTGTTATTAAAGATATACTCGAAGAAAATGCCGAAAAGGGCTCCAAAGCTGAACAAAGAGCAGAAATAAGTCTTCCTTCTCACAAACCAAGGCGAAGCAGAACGCGGTTTACGATCCCCCAAACTGAAGAACTGGAAAAAGCTTTTCATAAAACTCACTACCCTGATATATACGCTCGAGAAGAGCTCGCTCAGAGGCTGGGATTGAGTGAGGCTCGTGTACAGGTACAAGTCAGAATCCTTCTTTTTTAAATATTTTTTTCAACTGTTTGAATTGAAATTAAATTCAAAAGATATTTTTCAAAACGAAATTGGACGAGCATATGCGACTTTTTCAGTTTGAACATTCTTGGATTTGATATTTGAATTGAAAATTGTTGAATTGGGGCTCTTAAGGGTTTGCTGTGAAAGATTATAACTGGTCAAATGGCAGCTTATCTCTGCTGAATTTAAGAATCTCTCACGATGAAATAGCTTAATTATCCTATTCATTCAATATCGGTAAATTAAAACTAAAAAAACGAATAAACTTTGACATGGCAACGATTTAACCGCATGATCTTTCAATTTTATTAAAACTCTYTTTTTCGACTCTACATATATTCTTTCCTTTTTAGTTTCTTTCCTTGCAATGTCGGATTCATTTAAACCCAAAAAGAAGAAAATTTTTTTAATATGAATTGTGCAAATCAATAAAATTTGCTTTTAACTTCGCCACGCATATTATTCAGACAAAACAGCGTATATTCGAAGATTAAACATCGTTAGTCATTGAAAATTAAAAAAAGACATACTTGGGGGCAAAAGATGTGATACATTAGCCCTCCTATAGCGACTTGTGTCAACTCTTTCTAAAAGAGCAACTAAAAACATAGTATTTTCGTTTATTCAAACAACCAGATTATGAAAAGTGAAAAAATGGGAAAAAATCGAAAAAAACTCAACGCATTTTCGAATACTTAAATCATTCTTTATTGATTTATAAGTTTTGTTTTTGTGTTTTACCTGTTCTTAATAAGAGGTACATTTTGTTTCAAAAGAGTTTACTTGAGAAAAAAAGAAACAGGATTTTGTGTAGTAGGTCTTTGTTCCAAGGTCCTTGACTTGGTTTATTATCTTACGCGCCTGCTCTAAGAAGCCTTGTTTGCAAGGAAGTTACAGAGGTTTGTGCTGAGTTGCCTCTTATAAAACATCCGCGAGCCGTTTTCAAAAAAAGAAAATTTCTCTTGAAATCGTGCAACTTTTATATTAATTAATCGCAAATCCAGCCTTTGTTCATATAAACAGTATATGTTTCACTAATGCTGATTTAAATTCGATCTCAATGAATTGAAAACGCCCAATTCTTGGCCGCGTAACGCCTTTATTATCAATTCAGCAATAGTAAATCGGCGCTTGGCGCTCTATCATCCACTTCTATAACGATTCAACCATTTAGTCATCTAACTGAACGCCTCAAGCGATACTGTCAAAATCAAACAATTTTAGTTTAAGATCTTAGTTCCGATTAGCTGGAGGGTGCTAACGTAAACGTGTGGTATCAAACTCTGTAAAGGTTCAGCTTATCTTTCATAAGAACGTTAGAATGCCAGCTTTCATTATTTAAGTCCGATTTGTGACGACTGTGGTAGCTATCGCATTTAACAATTCCGATTAGCTAAGTATACTTTGAAACAAATTCCTCGTTTTTTTTGTTCTAGAGCAAAGTCCTTTCGCCTAATGTTAGTCTGATATTGAAGCTTTTCACTAGGGGTTTTAATAAGACACCGCTATTGTAGAAGATAGCTAGGTACTAGCAAGTGCGATGTTTGATTCACTTTTGGAGCTCACTTGAAGATTAATAGCCTTCCATTTAAAGAATTATCTCGACATATTTAATCTATAAACTCTATACAATAGATACTATATGAACGGATTGTCTATAAGCAATTTATTTGCTGCGAAAACGAAATTGCCGACAATTTGAAATGGTTGTTATTCACCGTCAAACACTATAGGCGATAAAACAGAAAGATTTCAACTGAATGCTGAAACTGATTCCAAATCTGCTTAGCTAAAATTACCTTTCTTAAATAACATTTGTCTATAGGTCTTTTTTTTAATTAAAACATTTTACTAAAGAAAGTTCAGATTAGATTAACGAAAACTTCACAAGAAGCAAGTCAAGTTTACAGTCCAATTGTTGAAGTTGTCTGTCTACCTAAAACCTCAAAATAAGCTTGACAATAGATAGCAGTCAAATGAAGTCAAAATATTTGTGTGGTTTTATCAAAAATCCAAAGATTTAAGTGTCTGTGGGTTTGTGGTAATCAAATAGCCTCTCTTTCGACAGTAAGTTTTTGGTTCAATCGAATCAACTGAACCTGGAATATCGCCGTTTGGTCCGATGTTATATCGGAAGAACTCGTTTAATGGAAACAAAATTATTATTTTTTTCAAAGAAAATATCAAAACGAGGTTGTATATAAACTATTTAAAGTGCTATGCTGTGATATTGGAGCTAAAACTGTCGTATTTAAGGGTTTTAAACTGAAAGAAAATAAAACAAAATTCACAATGTAATCATATTCTTTTTTCAAATAAAAAAAGGGTAGAAAATAATTTCTGCTTTTGGACAAAGTAKCTAAACCAAGATAGTTTAAGCTCTGTTAGTTCCCGCCGAGAGGGTTTAGTGCACTCCTTCGCCAGCTTCGCCTGTATCCGTTAGACTTTAATACGTCTGTCAGCTGTAAACGAAAGTCAGTTATCACATAAGTTTGTCAGTTGTTGGTTTTAGAGGAATCAATCGACAACTTAAGGAATTGAAGCACACCCTTTGATCATATACCATGATAAAACCTAAAATGTCTTCAGGGAGAGAGATTTTGTTGATCATCGAAGCCCGTTGTCTTTTGTTTCGAATTTTTTCATTCACAAAAAGTTCTTCAGTACGTTTCCGTTTTGTTTAAAAGAGAACCCCAAATCGAGAAGTTCTTTGTTTAATTTACTCAAAGAAGCTMACCTAACTCACTTAACAAACAACGAAAATGTTAAAAACTAAAATACCCTAAGTGTAATTTAYTTCATGACGTTTTAGTGTGGCAATTAAACTTTGTTTTCGTGTTTCAAATGAAATCAATCGATGATAAAATTTACAATTGCATTRTGGGAAATAGAGGCGATTGACTTTGGTCATTAGTGTCCGCCTAAAGTAACGGATAGCTCTATATACAAGAAAATTACTTATAGCTGCTTTTATGGCCTMATCTTTCTGTAATTTTGCCTCAATACTCACGTAGCCAAGTGTCTCACGCCATTTGCAATGATTGCTTTAAAAGTCATACTTGAAAAAATGTCCCAGTTTTTTAAGCAGTTCTTCTAGAATTTCGTTATAAATTCAAGGGCACAAAGTTGACTTACTTCTTTAATTTAATCAAGAACAAATAAATTGAATTCATTTTTGTTTTAAAGTATATTGTCTAAATACTTGAGGTAAGTAAACCGCGTTTGCTATGGATATGAAATATTTATAGCATTATAAAGTGGTAGATATCTTGAAGTCTAACAACTGAGCTTTTTACTTGTTTTTTTATTCGTTGAAAACCAGYCAAGATAAGATAGACGCAACAATAAGATCCCATTAACTTTGAATTCACCCCAAAAACCATCTAAAATAAAGCCTCTAGATGCTAAGATTACAGTCTTTGAAATTGAAAATGGGTTTTGAATGGCTTTTGGAGCTTTTTTTGAGGAATTGTTCGCAAAAAAACAGTGGCTTTGTGCAAGGCGTCTTAGCATTCAAAAAGCAATGTATCTAGTGCTTTGTTAAAAACTTGCCGCAAGTGTGTGTCTTAACACGTTTATTCCCTTTGTCGTTATTTAATCAATTAGAATTCATTTATTTCTCAATTTCTATTCTCGCCCAACGGCTTCTGTTTCCTCATTTAACATCTCAGATCAAAGTGTCTTTCGATAGTCATATTGCATTAAGTAAAAACCTAAATTGTATGGCATTCCCGAATCAATTTACCAACACCTACCAAATCAACATGATTCGTTACTTAACATTAATTTATAAGGGGATAGAATCTGTGACGTTAATTGACGATGCTCTGGGCGCGGAACACACCCAAATAGCATGGGCAGGGCTTTTGTTTTATTGTGYAATACACAGAACCATTTGGACTAATAGGGGTTACCCTGGCTCTAAAACTCTCTTATTGTGTTATCATGTACAATACCAAAATATAAAGTAGTTGGCTAGGCAACACCATTTATAACGAGACTTAAAACGTGTTCCTCGGCAGAGTAATAAAGCCAAAAGTGGAGTGACTTGAGCGGTCGGCGAGTTCACGGCGCTTTTCATCGACATGGAAGTTGTTTTGCTAATTACAAAGCCCTAATTAGACCAGATGCTGGCACTATCATTGTTACTCGGGCTGTGCTTGGTGTTTTCATCACCACTGAGAGAGAGGCTTAATAAAGTAACAGGAAACAAGATCGGCTTTCCCTTCGCATCTGTCCGTTTGCTTTCCAATACTAACTGTGTTACATTGTAATATGTTGTTGTCAAAATATACTTAACAACAAAAACACTGCTGCCGATCAATGACTGTGAGCTGGGAGAGATTTTATTGATGTAACGGAACAAGTCATAGAACTACTCCGCAAYTCCTCTCCAGCTAAGCAAAACATAGACTATTCAGTCATTTGCCTGATCATGCGTTGTGCGGTATGATGTCCGGGCGGCACACTGTTACTAGACAATGATTTTGAAGCGATGAATTAACTTATTTAGCAAAATTTATCAACCACACAATCATGCTACGAACTTAACATCTAATTTTTTGTACGTTTCTATCACGTGACTTCTTGATGTTACTGTTTCTATTCGCGTGWTATTTTCTTTGTTATAATACATGGTTGTTATATAAGCTTGGATTTAACATTAAGCTATTATATCACGCCATGGATTTGGCATTCACTTCAATAGAGTTTATTGTTGTTTCAGGTATGGTTTTCAAATCGACGTGCTCGACTTCGTAAAGAGAGACTTCTTCCTTGCASCGAGGAATTCCTTTATTCTCCYATGGCMCACTATCCGTACGCCTTGCTGTTACAAGCCTCGCATCCGCTGACCAGTTCACTCGCACACGAGTGCGTTCCCTTCTACTGAGACTGATCAGAATAGTCCACAATTCAAGTTTCATTTAATTAATTCTGCCTTGTTTATTTTTTTACTAATTCTTTCTTTTATTCTCTCTTTTCTTGATTATTAATATTATTATTATTATTATCATTTGCTTTTTGTCTCATCGACTTGTTTTGTTTTGTTTTGTCACCATTTCATCATTTTTTCAATAATTCCTTTCGAAAAACATTTATCAAATCTAAGTTCMATTGAAAAGTTTACTCAGCCATATACAATATACATAAATTTTATTTTCGTATGACAAATAAATGTCGGTTAAGAGAATAGAGGAGCGCTTAGGACATGTCGCCAACTTATTTACCTAAATATTTCATTACCGAGTGATAACATAAAAAAGTAAAAAATAAAAGCTTTGCATTAGTAAAATTAGCTTTGAACAAAGTTTACATGAGTGAAATATGAATATGACTTAACCCACTTAATTAAGCTCAATTTCACTATTTTCCCTATTAAACAGGTCGAATCGCCTCAAGCAGGTGCGTTCAATTACACGTGAAATATGAAATACTCTGTATAGTAATTAACCCAATACAAGCTTCAATTCCATGCTTTATTCTTCAACCTTGAAGCTTTCATAATCATATTATTCGATGCTGTTTTAAATAGATAATAAAAAAAATGAACTATCGTGTGCTTTAATGGCTGTTAAATAAGCCTACTTATCATTGCACCACTTCAAACCCCTTAACGTTTCTCGTCAGTTGGCTTGATTTCCGAAAATCTAAATCATTTTGTTATCCTAACGAGCCGTTATTATTCCAAATGACGTTTTTATACCAAATAAAAGGTTTGTTTGGAGAAACTATTAGCGTCTACACGAGCTTTTTTGTCTGTTCATTGTTTGTCTTTGAAAGTTTCTTTTCAAATGTTTTTGAATGAGGGATATTAGGAGCACGATAGTTTATATTCAAAAAYCACACTGTTTTTAAACACCTTTCATTCTCGCTGAATCACGMAAAAACGCCYCTAATTCTTTCTTAAGTTGTTTAGAATAAAACGATGTCCACCATATATTATATAATACAATATATTACGGCTAGGAAGCAAAAGAGAATTTCGTKGGATTTTTTTAGAAGTTTTCCGTGACGAGTTTAACSGGTATMGTTTAAAAGTAGCTGTTTTCTTTTGTTAGGCAATAACCCTTTATACCCGCTGCGCACGTTATGCACCCCAGTGATTTCTATTTARGCTGTTCAGATCTTCCACAAGCAGATTATCTAGATTCTTCWAGCTCATTATTTTGAATTTCAAAGCATTTCATTGAATTAATCTTTGCTAAAATTGACGCATTTAAAATCTTTGAMATGTCATTATGATAAGTTTCTATGAAATGACAGATACAATAAACAGTGGTTTGAATTTCTRTTTTCATTTTGAAAATTTAATTATAGCATTACTATACAAAATGTCCTCGCGTCGTTTCAGTTCCACTCCCACTTCTGACACCTTAGTATCCAGCAGTGCGAAGGATAATAGGAAACTTTAATAGTTCAAGCTTTAATTTAACATTTCCTAGATTATAACCAGTTTTCTCAAGACCCTATTAAACGTTTCACTGGCGTTCGACATAGGCCTTCYCCACGCCCCACACCTTTTCATGACTGAAAACGGCTTGTCATCRAAACTTAGCCAAGCATTGAGATGTCTAAAAGTTCTTTCGATTGAYTGCCATCAGAATATTGTATAAATTCTAAATTTGATTTTCTGGTTTGCTCTACTTTGATAAGATGAAAAGTATAAAAACAAATGTGCTGGAAAAAGTAACAGTTTCAACTCAACAGAGCGCAGATTCCAAAACCGTGAAAATGTATTAACCAAAGTGCAGTGCAGTATAGTGTAGAATAGATCATAAAAAAAGATAATAAAAAACAAAGCGATAATATTAAGTTTTTTATGAGTTTAGTGTTTGCACTCTACCATCCTTATAAATTGCACTTGAAGTTAAAAAAACCGTGAAATTTTACATTACTGCTACATTACACCTTTATAGTACGTTCTAATTGCATCGCTTTATTTTGTGTCTATTTGATTATTACTCTTTAATAGTCAGGTTTTGTTTCACGGGCTTAATGACTTCATTCTAGAGTGACGTCATTATTGAGTGAAGTCAAAAAACACGTGAAATAAATATTACATTTGTGACACTTTAATTTGTTTCCCTCTCCTTGTAGAACTCAAATATTGCAGTCATTGCTGGGTCAGTGCGGTGAAATCTCTTTTTTTTTTGGGTACTTCTTTTGCGGCCGTCCTTTTACTCTCTACGTTCGAGCGTGATTCTCTCTTCCTCGCAACACGTGCCTACCCCTTAAGTACTCTGCCGAGCCCCATGGGACAAGCCCATAACCCTTTGCTACACCATTCTTTTTTTTTTGCTAGTCCTTATCCAGGACTTAAAGAAAAGATGTAATATACTTAATGTTAAGGAATACTTGAATGCTTAAATGTTACTAAAGTTAATTATATGAGGAAAATACGGAACCTATTACACAAAATGGTACGCTAGCCAAATTGACAATTAATTACTTAACCCAGTCGTYGGAATTAAATCGGACTGGCTTCTTGCGTTGTCTTGTACTTCTCCTTATACGTTGTGGAGGACTACTAGCATCAATTACACTCGRTTGGTCTGGCGTCTGGAATGGGCATGGCAGTAAGAGGTTCCTGTGTAGGGTACGAGTCTTCTTACCATCCTCCTGCCGCACGATGTACACAGGGATCCCGTCGTTCGGTTGCCTCACAACAACATAAACCTGTTTGTCCCAAAAACTATC